GCTTTCTCTTAAAAAAAAAAAAAAAAAAAAAAAAAAAAAGGAGTCATGAAGCAATCACTCATCAATACTGACCTTGCTGCTCACTGTCTGCTTCAGTTTTTGAAGAACCTGGTGCAACAGGAAGGGGTCGAGGTGGCCGGGGCTTTGGTGTGGGCGGTGAGATCTTTTTCCTTCCAATGTATTCTACGTAAGTTCCCGGAAAGTCCCCCCTCTCCCCCGTGGTCTCATTATAGCCATTTAACCAGCCGATTTCTTCAGGCCTGGCTTCTTGTCCATCACTGAATCCAAGAGCTACTAAGGACCCTTTATTCACAGTCAGTACGTCCCCCAAGTGCAAGTCAATGTCTTCTTCCCGCTCCTTTTTATAGTCGTACAGCGCCCTGTACTGGTACCCCTCGGCACTCATGGCTGCAGACCTGCGACCATGCGACAGCTGAGGCTGGCTGCACACTGCAGTCTAACCTGACGTTTCTATGGAAAGTGAATTCAGATAGTGTGTTAAGATTCCTAATACACGTCCAGCAGGGGATAAAGGATAACTCTCCAAAGGTTTAAGAGGAGAGGTGATTGGCCATCCGGCCGTCCATCTGTCCTCCATCAAGGGTGTGACTGAAGTCAGGGCTCACTTCCTCTGTGGCTGCAGTCTTCCCACCGGCTTCCTTTTCAGCAACTCGTCAACACATTGACTCGGGGCTGACTCTCCCTTCGAGGCCCGATCCTTTCTGACACTCTTGTCACACTGTCCATCTGTCATCTGATTTGACTATGGCACACACCACATGCGAGCTGCACCTAGCAAAGGGAAAACAAGACTTATGAATCAACGGCACACTTGGCCATCTGTGTGAATCTGAATTTCGACTTCCATTCAACAAGTACTTAATCAACCTGGCAGACGTACACAGGCCAGTATGCTTTTGCTTGACATGGTATACACAACAAAGATTATTGAGGCAGGCAGTCCCAGCCTTCTAAGAACACTCGGCAGGGTGGGAGGGATGCTGGAATGTGGCAACATCTCAGAGATAAGACAAGACACAATCTATATTATAGTTATAGATCTAGGATCTGTAACACTAGGTAAATGTCATAAGAGAGCAGAGACTGAACGCTAGGGAGTTCAAACAAGGGAGAGACCACATCTCACTGCAGGCATCTGAAGACAGAAGAGAACGTGTGGCATGATCTTAGGTACAGATGTGATGAAGCACTTGTCATATTCTGAGAAGAGCTAGAACAGGCAGAGCAGTATGTGTGAAGCCAAAGAGGGAACATCACGTCCAGGTTAGAAAGATAAGCAAGGGTTGTATAACAAACATCACACACACCCGTGTCGAGTTTATGAGTGATGCAATCTGCAATGGGGAGCTGGAAAAAGGCTTGGAGAGAGGGGAACAACAAGACCAGAGTGGCACTTGAAGAACCTCAGTCTAATCCTGGTGCATGGAAGGGACTGGCGTAGGGACAGAAGAGGAAAGCCATGAAAGGTGTTTTGCAGCCATCTGGGCAAGTGGCCATGAAGGCATGAACCAAAGTGGCAGCAGAAGGTATGGAAAGGGGAGGACTGAAGTAAGGGAGAAAAAAGCGTGTGTGGGACGTGGCCATGCTGAAAAATGGATCAAGAAAGAGAGAAGCACACGGTACTGGGTACTGGATCCTGGTTGGGGAGACAGACAGACTGCAGCATATGAGAAACAGAGGATGGCAGAGAAGCCAAGAGGAAGGGGCTCTTCCCAGGCTGGAGGGCTGAGCCAGGGTTCAAGGTACTAGCTGACTGCTGGACCTTAAAGATCATCCACTCTGCCAGCTATTTTAGAATTCATTTCTGCATGACATGAGATAATCAGAGAGATAGATTGACCTGTGTGTCTGTTTAGCAACATATTAGTATTTTTAAGCCAAAGAAATAAAGACACAAAACTTAGTACATAATAGCAGAGCATAGGTCATTTTGTTGGTACCTTCCTAGCAAAAAAGTAAAATAGAAAGTATAAATTGTACAGAAAATACAAGTACAAAATAAAAAGGAAAAACAAAATAAAAAGGGAAAACTTCTCTCTCCTGCACTTTCTCTTTTATCCCAAAGTTGATTACTGCTTTAATTTTACATTGATTCCTTTCTTAAAAAGCAATAAAAATGATATATATTTTTTAAAAAAGAAGAAGAAAAAGGAAGAGAGAAGCAAAAGGTGCCAGATCCTGAGTTCACAAGAAGAATGTAGCTACCAATATCAGGCAAAGGGAAGCCAGGAGGCCTGATGGGCTAATGGTGATGCTGGGCATCCAAATGCAAGCGTGGATCGTTGAAAACCTGGTCTGTGATTCAGGAGAGGAAACACACCTGAGGTTTGGTAATCTCAAACCTCATATAAGGCAAGGCCAAGCTCAATGGAATGAAGGAACTCAGAGGAAAAATATTAAAAGTAAAAAAAAAAAAAAAGATCCAAGGACTAAACATCAAGGTTCAATGAATGCCAATGAGGAGGGAAAGTCAAGGTCTGAAGACAATGCAATGCCCTGGAAACAAGGGAAAAGAGAGTTCAGGTAGGAAAAGGTGATCTCTAAGACTAAATCCTGCAGAGGCCTCTGGAAGTGGGAAACAGGCAGGGCTAGGTCATCTGGGGCTTTTGTCCATAGTGCAATCATCACGGACTTGAGAAAGCCCACTCTAGTCTAGTAGTATTGAGGATAGTAACCAGAGTTTAAGGAGTTAAGGAATAAAAAGAAAGTAGAGATGGCTGCAGATCACACTATGAAGATAAGCTCAGTGGAGGGGGAAACGGAAATGCAAGTTTTTTCTTTTTTCTTTTTTTTTAACTAGTAGAGGCAGAGGGCTTAGAGAGTTAGAGGCTCTTTAAGTTAGAGAGGTAGTAAGGCAGCTTGGATAGCTGCTAGAACAGTAGAGAACAATGTGCACATGGACACACTATGTACTCCGTTCATTTCTTCACGTTATCTTTGTTAGAAAGAGGAAAAGCAAACTAAAGGTTTCAGTTAAGCTGGCTGAACAATAAAGCAATAAAAACAATAGCCTCACAATTTCGGTGTGGTATGTCAAAGAGAGCTTTTATAAGTTTTCAAGAATGGAGCCTTTTAGAAGTTTATTATTATAGGCACTCTGCGGTGTAGGCATCTTAAGAAGCAAATCTAATCACAGATTAATTGTTATGCTGGCATTCAGAAGTGTAAAGTATTCAACTTTACATGGCTAAAGCCTCTTAGCTGTAATACAATAACGCTCTTAGGAGAGTTACATATTAAAAGAAGGAAAAACAAACACTGGAGATCTTTGTGTAGCAAGAATATTAATTTGCAGTAGTATTCTACTTTGTATTTCAGTTGGCAGAGAAAAAAAATTAAAGCAGCCAGCAGAGCATATGAGAAAAATAAACTATGTTATGTTTGAAGACAGCCTCTCCTTTTGCTAGATCCAGAATCAAATTAAATATTCACTGCATAAATTCACAAGAAAATGCAGAACGAGCAAATCCCATTTTTAGTACTAATGTACTCTGTTACAAATGAGACACAGAACATGAACATTTACATATCCCTAAATGCCTGGAAACCAGGCAATATGCCTGAGAATAATTTAATTCCTCCAAATCTGCCTTGAAATTTTTGTTAGCTTTTCCTGGCAATGTATGTTTTTTTGAAAAAAAAAAAAAATCCTCAACTAGTAGGCTGGGTAGATCTTCCCGCCAGCTGCTGCTTATGGCTTCCTCTATTTCAACAGCCCAGGAGGCCAGTTTGGTGAGATCCTTAACAGAATGGGGAGTATAATAATTCCCCTCTCTCCCTCCTACTCTGTCCCCCTCAATTCCTCCTCTCCCCGCTACACGGCTCTCGGCAATCGCCAAGCCCTGCTCACAGCGCACCTATGTAGCTATGCATGTCCCTCACCAGGGGACACTGCAGTAAGAAAAGATCCAGGTCTGCTCAAGGTTTTACAAACCTAAAAACTGTGTTTACACTGGCCTGAGGCTAAATCCCTGCAAGGAGATAAAGAACCCTGAGGAACCCAAAGACTTTAGCAAGACCAGACTTTAGAGTAACAATTCCCGCCATAGATGCCAGAGATCTACCTGTTTCTCCAAAGTCCCCCTCCCTCACCGTTTGTAAGAACCACCTTACTTTCTGTGCAGAAGAATCCTATGCAGAACTCTGGGCCCTCAACTGACCAAGAGAAGCCCAGATCTTCTATGACTCTTGGACCATAGGCAGCACACACCACTCATCTTCCAGGACTCCATCGTCAAGGCCAGGAAGACCAGTCCAAACAGTCCAAGGTCAGCCATGATGCAGTGCCAATTAAGAGGGAGCGCTGGGCTTCCCTGGTGGCGCAGTGCTTGAGAGTCCGCCTGCCGATGCAGGGCACACGGGTTCGTGCCCCGGTCCGGGAAGATCCCACATGCCACGGAGTGGCTGGGCCCAGGAGCCATGAGCCTGCGCGTCTGGAGCCTGTGCTCCGCAACGGGAGACGCCACAACAGTGAGAGGCCCGCGTACCGCAAAAAAAAAAAAAGGGAGCACTGACTAGCCATGGGGTGGTGAGTGGAGCGCATCCCATGGGGAAGTGCAGAGTGGCCTTGGCTATATGGGGGCGGCCCTCCCCTGCTGCACAGTGTACACTTTCTCCTGATGGCCATGCCCATTTTAATGGCTGCCACTGTCGTCGTCACTAAATACTGGAAGCTATAGGAGTATTAACCCATTCAATCATCACCATCGAATATTCAGTGGGAGCTATAGGTGTATTAACATGTTCAATACTCAAGGTAACCATGAGATGGGTACTATCAACATTCTCACTTTACATAGGAGGAAAACGAGGTGCGGAGAGTTTAGTGTCTTGGCTGTGATATCTTGGCCATGATAACACTCACCAAGGGCGAGGTGTAACTAGAGTTCAAATCCAGGCAGTCTGGCTCCAGAGCCACCACTTTTAACACCTTAAAACCTACTGCCCAGGGCTTCCCTGGTGGCGCAGTGGTTGGGAGTCTGCCTGCTGATGCGGGGGACGCGGGTTCATGCCCCGGTCCGGGAGGATCCCACATGCCGCGGAGCGGCTGGGCCCGTGAGCCATGGCTGCTGAGCCTGCGCCTCCAAAGCCTGTGCTCCGCAATGGGAGAGGCCACAACAGTGAGAGGCCCGCGTACCGCAAAAAAACCCAAAAAAACAAAAAAACCTACTGCCCAAACTCAGCTTGCTCAGATGCCCCAGGACGGCCCAGATATATACATGGGGTCAATGGTGCAGATTCCTCGCTTGCACACTCTGACCTCTCAGATTTATCTTGAAGGTCTGCTTGTTGCTCTCTGTGACGGTGGCCTTACCGATAGTGTTTGTGGCTCTTTCACAAAAACACCTGCACAAAAAGAAGCCATTATAACTCAGCAGGAGTGCC